CCAGCTCTGGTCTCCCTTGAGGGATACACTGTCCCCTGTGGGGTACTCACCCTGGAGCTGGTTGTTTCTGTGTGGTGTAGGTCATCAGTAGTTGTTGCAATCCGAGTTCAGTTGGGGTGGTTGCGGGCTGGGTTGGGCGGTGGTGGCTCTGTGTGATTCTTTTCTGTCTCTGCCTCTGTCGAAGCTGTCGGGTCAAAAGTGTCCACGCTCAGGCGGCTTCTTCGAGGGTTGTGATCTGCAGGCAGCCCCCTGTGCCTCTGGGGCCCGGGTGGCCCCGCCGGGTCTTTGCGATCGCGATTGGGCGGGTGGTCTGCCGACAGGTCCCTTTGTCGTGCTGCTGGTGCCAAGCGGCTTTGGCGGGATGGAGCCTCTCTGCTCTGGTGGAGGGTGAGGGGTGGGGATGGGATCCTTGTGGAGACTCCCTGCTGGTAGGTTTCTCTGTTCCTGGCTATCCGCTGTTCTGCAAACCGGTACTTGGTGATCTGCAAGCGGCCCCCTGTGACTCTGGGGCTCTGGCAGCCCCGGCCGGGCCGGCTGGCGCACTGCCGCGTGGCCAGTAAAGGTTGGGGGAGGGGTCTTCACTTTTCTCTGTTCTGAAATTCTTCTTTTCCTCTCTTTCTTTTTTTGTTATTTTCCGCCTCTGGTTTTTCTCTGAGTGTTCGTCTTTTTGTTGTTGTCGGTCTCTTGGGGAGATGAAGCGTTGGAACTCGAACTCTCTTTTTGGTTGGAGAGAGCTATGGCGTTTCCCTACTGCCCCGTCTCCATCTTGGTCCCCCCCACCTCAAGTTTACTTTTGATATACAGTCTTACTAACTTCACCTAGGCCTATACTCAAACTATGATCATCTTACCTCCACCTCCCGAGTAGCTGGGGTTATATACACGCCAGCATGACTGCCCTTACACCTCTTTTAAATTGGATGTTTTAATTTTACTTAGATTTTGAATCTAATAATAACACGAATAGTTTAGAATTCCCCAAATTATATATATACAAATCGTGTTTATGAATTAGTGGCATTTTTATATCAGACTTTGGCTTTATGATATCAGATTGCAACAAATGATTGCCATGACAGTAAAAATGACATGTCTTGATTTTTTTTCCAACAGATATGCGTGTACAAATAACTAATGCTGAGAAAATATTTCTTGAGAAGCTTGGCGAAAAGGAATATTGGGAAGAATACAAGAACGTTGGGAGTGAACAGCATGCTCAACTCATTATTTCCTTACAAAATGATATCAATACCGTTAAAGAGAATGCAGAGAAAATGTCAGGTCAGTGGAATAAATCTAGCTCAAGGAAGGCAGGCTCCTTCCCTAGGACCCAGGCAGTTCTAGTGTTAAAACTATGTCCTAAATGGCAGGTGGATGCTTGACTTCTGAAAATTATTGTGCTTGGATGATAAATAAAGCACAATTGACCAGGCTCCAGTTGCTTACACCTGTAATCCAAGCTACTCAGGAAGCTGAGATATATGGATCACAGTTCAGAGCCAGCCTGGTCAGGGAAGTCTGTGAGATTCTTATTTCCAATTAATCAGCAAAAGCCAGAAGTGGAGCTATGTCTCAAGTGGTCTAGCAATACCCTTGAATAAAAGAGGGAGAGCACAAGGCCCTGGGTTTAAGCCCTAGTACCAGGAAAAAAAAGGAACATTGAGGTCTAACACTTTATCTTTGCTCCCTCCATATGACATTTATGAACATAAGAAAAGGCGGAGAGAATAGAATCTGGCACTTCATATCCATCTTCCTGTCATGCAGACAGCCCAACGTATCATCCGTCAGACACACTGCCTTCCAGCATCCTCTGTTCTTGGCACTCCCTTCTTCTCATTCTGCCTTTCCTGCCCCAGATGTCAGCACTACTGGAAATCTAGGAGGATGGAGTCAAATGGACACAGTACCACTCAGATAATAAAATATTTAGACTTTTCTTCTGGAATCCTTTTCCTTTTTGAAGCAACAATCTTTTGAAAATTCATTCTTTTGATCTTATGTTAGTTTACATTAAGATGTTAGCAAATTATTAGCGCAGTTCTTCTAACTGTAGGAACCAGATGCATCATAAAAATACACTTCAAGAATTCAGAAAAGAGGGCTGGGAAGGTGGCTCAGTGGTAGAGAACTCGCCTTCAGCTGGAGAGCTCAGGGACAACACCCAGGCTCAGAGTTCAAGCCCCATGACTGACAAAATTCAGAAAAAAATAAGCATAGATGGGCAGATGAGAATCATAGACAGTGAAACATAGTTTTACTTAGGACCAGTCCTATTAAAGCTTTCATTTCTTTTTATAGAGTATTATAAAGCCACTCTGGAAGATGCTAGAAAGAAAATAAACAAGGAAACTTTGTTGCAACTGGAACAAAAGAAGGAATGGGCTACCCAGGTAGGTACATTTCCTTTTTTTGGGGGGGGGTGGTCCAAAACCAGGACTTGGACTTGGTATCTGATGCTTTTGCTCATTGGCTGGCACTCTACTACCTGTGCCATGCCTCCAACCCGATTCTATATTACAGCAAAATGTTTCTCTTATTTATGATAGGTTAACATAGTGGTTAAGAACTTGGGTTCTGCTATCTCAGGTCTATAATCTAGCTACTAGAGGCTGAGATTAGGAGGATTGTGATTTAAGGCCATTTTGAGCAAATGTTCATGAGACTAGCATGTTAACTGGACATTAGCTGGGTGTGGGTGGTTCATGCCTGTAATCCTGGCTGTTTAGGAGGCTGAGATATGGAGAATTGTAGTTCAAAGCCAGCCTAGGCAGAAAAGTCCATTACACTCCATTTCCCAAATGACCACCAAAAAGCTTGACTGCAGGCCTGCCTCCAGCCAAGCAATCTCAAGTTCTGAGTTCAAACTCAGGTACCAACAAAAAAATAAAATAAAAATGCTGAAATAGTGATTCTTCCCTCAAATCCCAACTTACAGAGGAAGCATAAAGAGAGGAGGATCCAGATAGGCTTGGGCTAAAAGGAAGACACTATCTGAAAATTAACCAAGACCAAAAATGACTGAGACATGACTCAAGTGAAAAAGTGCCTGCCTAACAAATATGAAGCCCTGAATTAAAACCCCAGTGTTGCCAAATATATGCAAATAAATTAAGATATATTTGTATATGTTTCTTATGTATCTAAATCTAGGACATTACACTGTATATTGCTAGTGCTTTCAAAAATTTTAGGACACTTTTTTTTTTTTTGGGTCCAGTAGTGGGTCCTGAACTCTGGGCCTGGGCGCTGTCCCTCAGCTCTTCAGCTCAAGGCTAGCGCTCTACCACTTGAGCCACAGCACCACTTCTGGCTTTTTTCTT